ATTGCTGCTGCTCGCACGCTGCCTATGCGTGCGTGCGTGGCTATAGTCGCGTTCTCGCCTGCTGCTAACAAACGCACGTGCGTGTCAGATTATAATGCTTGTCTAGCCTGCAGTGGGGTACTCTATAGTGAGTACGGCCCCTTAGGGTTTCCTATTTGTATCCCAACTGTTGCTAGTCCAACCCCTCCTTTGCTCATTTCTCTCTTGCCTAGCTAGGTAAACCCTAGCTATGGCTCCTTGTTCTACCCACTATTCTGACAGTGCGCACGACCTAGCTAGCTAGGGCGTGCGGCCTGGAGGACTAGGAGGGCCGTGAGGCCTGGAGGGGAGGGAAACTACTAACTTGGGCGATTTAGTAATTAACTAGGCCTAGGAACTTAGCCTCTGATACCATCTCAAGAGTAGGCTAGCGGAAGTGATCGACTAGTATGGCAAGAGGTACAAGTAGAAAGTTGAGGGAATTGTGTACCCTATACTATGCAACCCAGTGTAGCCTAGCAAACTAACAAAACATATAAATATTATTTGACACTGAATACCAAGTGTAACAAGATTTGATTTTTTTTTTTTTTTTTCGAGCGAGAATTGCATTATCGAAGCAAAACAATGCAACGAGCGAAGGCATGAGAGAATTGTTAAATAGCGAAACAATGGTAACGGTAATGAGGGCTCGCAAAAGGTTCCTTGCGGGCCTAACGCCGAGGTTGGGAAATGTCGAGGCGTAGGGCCGGGCCGCGGGTTACCAGCCGAGCCGTGTGGTTCGGGCGCGACAGTGGTGATGGCGGGAACAATGTTGTATGCGATGTGGTAACGGTTGTCAAGAATGAAAGTGTTGGTTTGACTAAGGTTGGTTGGGGTACATAAACCTAACCCTAATAGTTGTACCCCCTATAACACACATCACTAAGACTACAACATTTGACACACCCCCATAGTCTAAGTGAGGGGTGTCAAGCAAAACCAAAAGTGTACGGTCACAAGACCAGTCACAAAGAAACAAAGCTCAGGGTGGATCACAACGTCACCACACACTCCGAGCACAAGCAAAAGAGCTATAAGGCCAGTCCAAGAGTTCACAGAGGTATATATAAAGCGTACAAACAAAGCAAGCAGAGAACTCAAGACTACGCAAGGCGAGAACCTGTGTCAACGAGACCTAACTGCACACAACACCTCTGGTGGTCACAAGGCGGAAGCGCCTTGGTGAAGATATCTGCAGTGTTGGCCTCGGACTCCACAAAGTCGAAGCGAGCCTGTCCATGCCTCTGCAACTCTCGCAGAAGAAAGTACTTGACGTTGATGTGCTTCACTCTGCTCTCGAGTCGCGGCTCTCGACAGAGGAGAATCGACGCCTTGTTGTCAGTTAACAAGGTCGGTGCAGAGCTCGGCCGCTCACCAAGGTCGGTGAGCAAGAAGGTCAACCAACGCAGCTCCTGTGCAGCCATGGCTCCAGCGTAGATCTCGGCCTCAGCAGTAGAGGTCGAGACCGAGGAGGAACGCGTGGACCTCCACGAAACATCTCCAGAGCCCAGGCTGAAGCAGTACCCCTGAGTAGACCTGTGAGTCTTGGCATCGTCAGCGTAAGAAGAGTCACAGTGTCCAGTAAGTACAACAGACTGCTGCCCTCCAAGAACCAGCCCCACGCCTGATGTCGTCGCTAGGTACTTCGCCACCCTCACAGCAGCTGTCCAGTGAACTGGACGGTGTCTCCCTGGCGCAACAAAGCGAGCAAGGATGCTGGGAGGGAAGGCGAGGTCCGGGCGAGTACAAGTCATCAGGTACATGAGGCAGCCCACAAGCTCTGCGTAAGGATCACTAGGCTCAAACGGCTCGTCAGGGAAGGGTCCAGTGAGTCTGTGGTCAACACCAAGAGGTGTGCGCTGTACTGTGGAGTGCTGAAGCTCGAACCGCTGAAGGACCTGCTGCACCATGTGTGACTGTGAGAGTGTAATGGTGCGAGCGGCTCTGTCCGTGGTGATCTGCAGGCCAAGGTAGTGGCGCAGCTCACCAAGGTCAGTGCACGTGTGTCTCTTCTGCAGTTCGCGCTTCACGTCAGCCAAAGCAACCCTGTTAGCAGTGGCGAAAACCAGGTCGTCGATGTAGACCAGTACAAAGAACGGTGTGGAGCCACGCCGAACAAACAGCGACGGGTCGGAAAAAGACGGCTGGAAACCGAGGTCAGACAGGGTAGAACGAAGGGTGTCGTGCCACTCACGAGGAGCCTGACGGAGACCGTAGACCGGTCGCCTCAGCCTCCACTGGGTCCCAGGAGGGAAGGTGCCAGTGAAGGCAGAGGGACGACGCAGCCAGACCTCCTCGTGTAGGCTACCCTGAAGGAAAGCAGTAGAGAAGTCGAGAGAGTGTAACTCGTAATCTCTCTGTGCTGCTACGTGCAGTAACACCCGAAGAGTGGTCATCTTTGGGGTAGGCGCGAAGGTCTGAAAGAAGTCAACTCCCTCGCGCTGACTGAAACCTCTAGCCACATAGCGCGCCTTGAAGACCGGAGGAGATCCCGGTGGCCGCTTCACCCTGAAGATCCACATGCCATCGACTACGTTCGCCCCAGGGGGGGAACCTCGTCGACGTAAGTGCCTGTGGATCTGTAGGAGGTCATCTCTGAGTCCATGGCAGCTCTCCACTGAGAGGCCCAAGGCCCTGACACTGCCTCAGCGTAAGTGCGAGGAGTCGGTATGTCAAGGGCGTCGGGGTCTCCCTCAGGGGAGAGCAGCATGGCACAGAGATGAGGGGAATCGGCTGCCAGGAACTCTAGCTCAAACTGCCTGTCCTCTAGGGCGTCACAGCCAAGGGCAGACTCACCCCCGATGGCCAGAGGACTGGTAGGAGGAGCAGCCACAAGACTGGTGGCGTAGTCAAGGTGGCGAGTAGAGGCAAACTGAGTGACTGCGGCAAGTACCAGGGAACAGGGGACGAGGGACGAGCACGAGGAGAGCGACGTGAAGGCCAAGTGTGAGAAAGAGGAGGGGACAATGGAGGCAGAGAAGGAGGGAAAACAGCTGGGGAGGGGTCAGGAGGAGGAAGCGGAGGACCAGCGACAGCAGCAGCAGCAGCAGCAGCCCCTCCCCTCGCAGCAGCCACAGCAGCAGCAGCTAGCGGCAGCAGCAGGTTTCGGGGGCAGGGGTCAGGACAGCGTCAGCTACGGCGCGGTGTCGTCCACTCTCCCTGCACCTATCACGTTCTGACAAGTGCCCGCCGCGGCCAGCCTTGTGGCCGCAGCCACCCACCAGGTCAGTGCTTTGCTCAGCTTACTGACACGGTTCGGTTGGCCTACGGTGTTGACGGCCCTGCCCCTGACTGGCTTCCCCTTGTTCAGACGTACGGCCCCGCTGTGGGGCATGTCGGCTTCTCAGTTGGTTGATCTCTTAGGAACTCCTCATGCTATTTATGTTGTTGTTGACTCTAGTGCTTGTTGGCTATGTACCCCAACCAACCTTAGTCAAACCAACACTTTCATTCTTGACATGGTATCACCTAGGTTAGGATCCTGTGGGATCCCGTTCCTCTCGTTCACGTCCGTAGCACCCGAGCCTGTCCCGTACCCTAGTGCCCGTTACGCCCGTACGGTCCCCTAGCGCCTATCGCACTCGTCTCTCTCGTGCCCTAGCGCCCGCCTGCACTTGCTGTCGCGTCGCCCCTGTTGTCCTGCCGCATCGCCCCTGCTGTCCCGTCCCGTCCCGTCGCCCATGCTGTCCCGTCGCGTCGTCCCCTGCTGTCCCGTTGCGTCGCGCCTGTCCCTGCTGTCCCGTCGCGTCGCGCTGTCCCGCCGCGTCGCGACGTCCGTCCCGTCCCGTCCCGTCCGCATCGCGCTTCCCGTCCCGTCCCGTCGCACGCGCCCCGTGCGCCCTGCCCGTCCGCCGCGCCCCGTGCGCCCTGCCCGTCCGTCGCGCCCCTGCTGCGCCTTGCCCGTCCATCGCGCCCCGTGCGCCCTGCCCGTCCGTCGCGCCCCGTGCGCCCCTGCCCGTCCGTCGCGCCCCCGCTGCGCCTTGCCCGTTCCGTCGCGGCCCTGTGCGCCCTGCCTGTCCGTCGCGCCCCCGCTGCGCCCTGCCCGTCCGTCGCGCCCCGTGCGCCCTGCCTGTCCGCACCTGTCGCGCCCGTCTCTGCCAGTTTTGTCCTGTCCCGTCGCGCCGCACTGTCTGTCACGCCCTACGCAGGCCCTTTAGGCGTTAGGGTTTCGGCAACAGCGATTACCACCTCTGATACCATGTCAAGAATGAAAGTGTTGGTTTGACTAAGGTTGGTTGGGGTACATAACCCTAACCCTAATAGTTGTACCCCCTATAACACACATCACTAAGACTACAATATTTGACAACGAAACACTATTGTAAGTGCATCTTTCGCGAGGTGGTAAGGGGACACTGTTTGGATGTAAGTGGCGGGTAGATTGTTTTAGGGTATGTTCTTGGCTGGTGTCAGGCTCGCTGATGTCAATCATTCCACGTCATCATCGTCAAAATCTACCAAAATCCCAACCTTTCAGAGCCTGGTGTCAAGATTCTAGACACCAGCCAAGAACGTACCTTTATGCGGTAGAGGTTGTGACGCGAAGTAAGGAAAGTTCTTTTTCTTAGAGTGTGCGAGAGAGGGGAAACCCTGATATCAGGGTCATTTTGTGTGGAGGTTACCGCTTATAGTTACCATCCGCGTGAACATTTTGCGCTATGACCATGAAAAAGTAGTGTATTGATGACACTACGTGTTTACCATTCACATATTTGACCGAAACTGAAAAAGTTACGCGCCCTTAGATACCATTCACATATTTTCCTCACAATGCCGTTAGGACCTCAACAGAAGCATCTTCGCGTAGTGTATGTTACGGTGAGCTTTCACGATTTTGGCGTGCCGCATAGCGACTAACAATGTTTGACCTGAGCGCGGCGACCAGCTTCTAGCTTGGCCACTGCCAGCGGCGGACGTGGGCGACGAGCAGCGCGCGCCTAGCAGCGGCGGGCGGCGGGCGGCGGGCGGCGGCGGGCGCGATGAGCGTGGTGCCGCGGGAGAGCGTGCAGGTGGCGGCGCACAGCATCGGCATCGCGAGTCTCGGCGATGACGTGGCTGCCGCGCTGGCGCCTGACGTGGAGTACCGCATGCGCGAGATCATCCAGGCACGGGCCGAATGCGGAAGGATGGGCCGTGGGTGGGCGGGGCATGGGTGGGGGAGGAGGGAGTACGACGGCGCGGGTGCGGGGCGAGGTCGCCGTGCGCGCATACGCGCAGCCGTTCATAGTCGCAGAAGTCTCATAGTCGCGTTTCATAGCACTCGCAGCATTGCTCAGCGTACAACTCTCACAATCCCTGCTCCCGTTTCCTCGCCTCCGCTGTCTCCCTCGGCTCTCTCACTACGCCATGTCTTGCCATCCCCACCATGCCACGCCCGCCCTGAGCAGGAGGCGGTGAAGTGCATGCGGCACAGCCGGCGCACCACTCTCACCACCGCTGACATCGCGGCCCGCCCTCAGCCTCAGGAACGTCGAGGTGAGCCGCGCTGCTTCATCGCCAAAATCCCAGGTCCCCTAAAGCTTCCCGAAAGCATTCCGCGAGAGACATTCGAGACACATTTTGGGGGTGTCCCGGAAGGGTGTGCTGCTGCCGCGCATGCTGCTGCCGGGCAGCACTCCTCCCGTCCCCACGCATTGCTCTCCACTCCTCTGCATTCCCCTCCCTCATCTCCCCCCCTTCCTCCGCCAACCCCCCCACTTCCCCCCTCCCCCGGTGCCATGGCAGCCGTTGTTCGGGCTGGCAGCGGCGGACAGCGTGCGGTTCCGGCGGGCAGTGGGGCACAGCGACGTCGTCTTCCTGCACGACCCCACGCTGCCGCTCTCCCAGGTGGGCCCCGCTCTCCCAGGTAACCCGCTCTCCCAGGTAACCCGCTCTCCCAGGTGGGCCTTCAAACACGGCACACTTGCTGAGCTGTGGCGCGTGGGTTGTTACCATGCTGCGGCGTCATGTGCGTCCAAGGTCGTGTCGTTTGCACACTTTCCCCATGTACCAACTCAGCTGCACCTTCTCTCCAACGCCACTCCCCCCCCCCCCCTTCCATTGTCCCCACCTCCGCCCCCCGCAATTCCTGAGCGTCCCATGCGTCTCACCAACGTGCCGCCGTGGGATCCCCCTCGTTCCCCCTGCAGTGCGTGTGCGGGCGGCAGGTGGTGGAGGCGCGCGTGCCGTGCGCGCCGGCGGACGTGAGTGTGGCGCCGCACTGGCTGGCCGTGGACGGCACGCAGCCCGCCACGCCTGAGAACGCCCCGCCCGCAGGTGGGGGAGGGGGGGAGAGGAAGAGGGGGGAAGGGCGAGGGGAAGTACGCTGGTGGGGTGCGGACTGGCATGGGGCGATGGGTGATGGCGGTGCTGCTGGGTGAGTAGGGGGGCAGTGCGGGTTGCGGTGGGGGACGACTATGATGACGCAGCACGTGGTGGTGTGGGAGGGGTGGGGTGAGTCGATGTTGGAAGATACGCGTATTTGCGTTTTTTCCAACATAGGGATGAGTGGGTCAGTGAGCGAGGCGAGGCAAGGCATGGCTGTCATGCCATGTGCTCCGTGCATCCCTGCAGGTCCCCTTTGAAGGGCCGTCCGTCCGTTTGACTCGCCAGCATCTCACCCTGCAGCTGCAGTGTGGGGAGCACTCCGCTGCATGCTGGTCATTGCCACCCACACTCACATTCTCCCTCCCCCCTCCCGCCCTTTGCCCCCAGGCATACCAGCAGCAGCAGCGGTGAAGGCGGAGGCGGGGCGGGCAGCAGAGGGTGGCACACAGCGAGCAGCAGGAGGGGCAGGTGGGGGGGCAGGCGGGGGGGAAGGTGGTGGAGGTGAAGCTGCCCGTGAAGCACGTGCTCTCCAAGGAGCTGCAGGTAAGCACGTGCTCTCCAAGGAGCTGCACGGTGCTCCCCCTCGCCCACCATGCCTCCTCCTGGCCTCTCACATGCACCCCCTCTCCTCCCTTGCACGTCAACTCCTTCCACCGCCCTGTTTCCCGCTGCCTCCCTCTACTTTCTCCTCTGCGACCCCGTTCTCTCTTTTCCCCTCCTTGTGTCGCTCAGCCCTGCAACCTGTTGAGACATCCAGGAAGCCCCTCATTGGCATTCACTTCCTCACTTTCTCCCTTTCTGCTTCATAATACTCACCCCCTTGCGTTTCTGCTTCATAATACTCACCCCCTTGCGTTTCTGCTTCATAATACTCACCCCCTTGCGTTTCTGCTTCATAATACTACCCACCCCCTTGCGTTTCTGCTCATAATACTCACCCCCTTGCGTTTTGCTTCATAACTACTCACCCCCCCTTCGCGTTTCTGCTTCATAGCTACTCACACCCTTGCGTTTCTGCTTCATAATACTCACCCCTTGCGTTTCTGCTTCATAATACTCACCCCCTTGCGTTTCTGCTTCATAATACTCACCCCTTGCGTTTCTGCTTCATAATACTCACCCCCTTGCGTTTCTGGTTCATAATACTCACCCCCTTGCGTTTCTGCTTCATAATACTCACCCCCTTGCGTTTCTGCTTCATAATACTCACCCCCTTGCGTTTCTGCTTCATAATACTCACCCCCTTGCGTTTCTGCTTCATAATACTCACCCCCTTGCGTTTCTGCTTCATAATACTCACCCCCTTGCGTTTCTGGTTCATAATACTCACCCCTTGCGTTTCTGCTTCATAATACTCACCCCCTTGCGTTTCTGCTTCATAATACTCACCCCCTTGCGTTTCTGCTTCATAATACTCACCCCCTTGCGTTTCTGCTTCATAATACTCACCCCCTTGCGTTTCTGCTTCATAATACTCACCCCCTTGCGTTTCTGCTTCATAATACTCACCCCCTTGCGTTTCTGCTTCATAATACTCACCCCCTTGCGTTTCTGCTTCATAATACTCACCCCTTGCGTTTCTGCTTCATAATACTCACCCCCTTGCGTTTCTGCTTCATAATACTCACCCCCTTGCGTTTCTGCTTCATAATACTCACCCCCTTGCGTTTCTGGTTCATAATACTCACCCCCTTGCGTTTCTGCTTCATAATACTCACCCCCTTGCGTTTCTGCTTCATAATACTCACCCCCTTGCGTTTCTGCTTCATAATACTCACCCCCTTGCGTTTCTGCTTCATAATACTCACCCCCTTGCGTTTCTGCTTCATAATACTCACCCCCTTGCGTTTCTGGTTCATAATACTCACCCCCTTGCGTTTCTGCTTCATAATACTCACCCCCTTGCGTTTCTGGTTCATGTGGCTCACTCACTTGCATCCGTAACACCTCCCACTCTGCCCGCCCCTCCGTCCCCCCCATGTCCCCGGCGGCGGGCAGCTCTACTTCGAGCGGGTCACGGAGCTCGTGCTGCTCACTGCTCGCCCCCCTGCCCCCGCCGCCTCCTCTGTGCCCACCCCAGGCGGGCAGCAGCACAGTGTGCTGTGTCACGCGCTGCGCAGTGTGGCGGTGGATGCGGGGCTGCATGCTCTGCTGCCCTACTTTGTGCACTTCATTGCTGACGAGGCCAGTCCCCCCTGTGCTGCTCTGCATGCCCTCTTCTCCTCGCCTTCATTGCATCCGCTCCATTGCACAACCAGCACACGTGCTGGACTGCTATCTCAACTGCCAGGCCAAATTTCTCCTGAAACCAAACCCTCACTGCTCTGCTCTGTACTCCCGCGCACTACGTCCCGCTGTCTTCATCACTCCGTGTTGTCATCTCGTCTCCTCATCTTTTCCCTCATCCCGCCTGCTGCCGCACCTCTCTCAGGTGATGCGCTCACTGGACGACTGCTTGCTGCTGGGCAGCCTCATGCGCCTCGCCAGGGCGCTGCTGCTCAACCCGCACCTCCACATGGAGCCATACGTGAGTCATGGAGCCATACGTGAGTCATGGAGCCATACGTGAGTCATGGAGCCATACGTGAGTCATGGAGCCATACGTGAGTCATGGAGCCATACGTGAGTCATGGAGCCATACGTGAGTCAGTGCGCGCACATAGCCCTCCATGCGTCATGATTGCATGCACTTCTTGTTGCTTTGGCCAACTCTTTCCCAACCCTCCCTCACTCCACCTTCCCCCTTTGCCCCCTTCCCCTCTACCAAACCACCAGCTGCACCAGCTGATGCCTGCCATGGTGACATGTGTGGTGGCGAAGCGCCTGGGCGAGCGGCAGCACCACACCCCACTGGCACCTCCGGGCCTTCACTGCCGCCCTGCTCGCGCTCATCTGCCACAGGTCAGAGCCCCACGAGTGTGCGGTGTCTAGAACGTGCTGAAGCACGCACGTCTGCCATCTCTCTTGCGTGCTTGTTCATCCTTATTGCCGCTCTCGTATTGTTCTCATCAATATTCTGTTTGCTTCTCGCCCAGGTTCGGCCGAGCCTACGCGTCGTTGCAGCCTCGGTTGACGCGCACCTTGCTGCACACGCTGCTGGACCCAAAGCGCTCGCTGCCTCAACACTTCGGCGCCATCCGCGCTCTCACTGCGCTGGGGCCCACCGTGGTGCGCCCATGCCACATCCCGCATGCCACATGCTACATGCCACATGCCATGCCACATGCCATGCCACATGCCATGCCACATGCCACATGCCTGGGGCCACGTTCCTCCAGCTATGCTTCTCCACTCTGGGTTCTCCCACATTTACTCTCCGCTGCTCACGCTGCTTTGCACTCTCCTTAGCCCTCCTTCCACACTCCCCTCTCCCCCCATCACGCCTTGTCATCTTGCTCTTGAACCCCCTGCCCTGTGCAACCCTCCAGGTGCGAGTGCTGCTGCTGCCGCACGTGC